AAATAGCTACTGTAATCCTGCATGTCCAATGTATCTAAAAGTGTATCATGATTTAATATAACACTTTTATGTGTTTTATATGCTTTAATATGGTAGTCTGACTGTTAGTCTATGCTTATAATAATTATCTGGTTAAAGACATAAAATAAATAGATAAATCTGATGCTGGACAAAAATATCATACATCATGACCAAGTAGGCTGCAACTTGGACATGTAAGGATGGGTTGATATACACTATATATAGAGGGAAGGAAACCAAAAAAATCATATTAATCCCTCAGTAGATCTAGAAAAACATTTGACAAAATTCAAAACCCTTAAGAAATTAGACAGAGAGGGACCTTATCTCAATCCAATAAAAGCCATTTGTAACACAACAATTGCCAACATCATCTTAAATGGGAATATGCTGAAATATTTTCCTCTAAAATGAGGAACAGGAGAAGGATGACCACTATCCCCACTTCTGTTTAATAGAATACTCAAAATATTAGCCATAGCAAACCAGCAAGAGAAAGAATTGAAAGGAATATGTATAGGAGTGGAAGAAATTAAAGAAGCATGATACGTGGGTGACATATTCCTCTGTATAGAGGACCCAAATTTTTACCCAAACACTCCTAGAATTTATAACCAAAGTCAACAATGTAGAATACAGAATCAACACAAAAATCAAGAGCACTCATGTAGAACAATAATGAACTCATTGAGAAAGAAATAGGGAAACTACCATTTGTATTAGCATCAATGAAAATTAATTGTGAATTAACCCAACCAAGGAAGTGAGCTGCCTCTACAATGAAAACTACAGTACTCTGAACAAAGAAATTAAAGAAGACATCAGAAAATGGAAAGATATCCCCTGTTCCTTGATAGGCAGAAAAAAAATTGTTAAAATGGGCATACTATCAAAACTGATATACAGATTTATTTCAATCCCAATCAAAATACCAAAAGCATCCCTCAGAGAACTGAAGAAATCAATCCCCAAATTAATATGGAACCAGTAGAGACCCAGTATATCGAAAGCAATTCTGGTTAAAGAAGACATCACAATTCTATGCTTCAGGTTATACTACAAATCTACAGTGATAAAATAGTATGTCATGAGCATAAAAAAAGACATATAGATCATTGAAACAGAATGAGGGATAGAGAAATGCCTTTAGGCAATTCCACTATCAAATCTTTGACAAAGGGGAAGAATCAAAATCAGAGGAAAAATATTATCTTAAACAAATAGTATTGTGAAAACTTGCTAATCACATGATGAAGACTGAATCTAGACTCATCTTTCTCATCATGCACTGAAGTAAAATCAAAATGGATCAAAAATCTAAACATTAAAATATAAACGATATGCTGAAAATTCAATTGACAAAATGCTTGAAGACAGGGATAGGCAAAGACTTTCTGACTGTCAAATATCAACATGGGATCATATCATATAAAAAAAACTTGGCATAGCAAAGGCAAAAAAATCACAAAATGAAGAGACAACCTACAGAATGAAAATATATTCACAAGCTATTCACTGGACAGAGGACTGATATCTAGACTATTTACAGAAATCAAGAAAATAAGACCCCCCCCAATAAAAGAATAAAGGAAAAAATTTACACCTAAAATGTATAGACACTTTGCAGAATTACAAATGGTCATTAAATAAATACACGAAAAAATGTTCAACATTTTGAGCCCATAGAGAAATATAAATGAAAACAATGCTGAGATGCCAACTTACTCCCCAAAAAAGTCTATCACCAAGAAATCAAATAAGAACAAATTTTGAAGAGGCTGTTTGAAAAAAAAAAACTTCCACATTGTTGGTGGGAAAGTAAGCTAGTACAATCATTATATAAGTCAGTATGGAGATTTCACACAAAAGAAGCAGCATGGCATAGCAGAAGCATGCTGGGCCCATAACCTAGAGATTCCACAAAAACCTAACAATTGAAATTCCATTCTATGTGGCTATTCCCCTTGTAGGTATCTTCCAAAAAGAGATTGTATCAGAGTGATACATGCAAACACCTGTTTATAGCAGCACAACTCATAGTAGCTAAATCTTGGTAGTAGTTTTACTGTTCATTGAAATTTGAATGGATAAAGAAAATGTGACATTTGTGCACAATTAAATACTACTCTGCCATAAAGACAGATAAGCCTGAATCTTTTTTAGGAAAATGTATACAGTTTGAGGACACAGTATTAAATATCAGTATTAAATATGGTTTCCCTTATATGAGAAATAGAGTATAAATAAATAAAGAACAAAAAAGATAAACAATAGGAAGTGAGATATATATATTGTGAAAGAAAGGGGTCAAAGAGTTGGGGGGAATGTGGAAGAAAGAAGAGAGTAGAGAAAGAGGATGAAAGAAAAGAATTAAGATGTGTTATCTATAAGTACCAACTTGCTACAAGGAATATAATCATTATGTACTGAAAATATGACAAATAATGATAAAATTTTAAATAAAACTGTTGAATTGCTGGAAGTACAGACTATGTCAAGGATTATTCTACAGCAACATATTTTTATTAATTTTTTTCTTTATTAGTACATGAATGCATGTACTTGAACTATTAATTATTTTTATTCCCTTTCTCCTCTTAGTTACTGTCTCATCACTAAGGCATAATACCTAACATAAATATAATGAAGAATGGTTTATTTTGGCTCACTGTAGAGCTTCCAGTCCATAGTCAGCTAGCTCTAAGACAGAGCTGGATGCAAAAGGGCAAGGAAGAGGAGAAAGAGCTCATGTTATGATAGGCAAGAAGAAGAGAGCAAGATCAAAGTAAGAGGAAAGTAGAAAGACCATTTTAGTGTACACTCCTGGCAGCATAGCTCCTTCAACCAGGTTTCATCACACAAATCACATTTAGCTATAAACTTAACCATCATGATTCAGTCAAGAGTACCACACCAATAATCCCTTCATCCCCAAAAGGCCCCACTCTTGAGCACATGACTGTTTATGCAAAAATTTAGATAAACCATAACATCCTTCAACCTCTACCACTACCTCGATCTTTAGGTTACCTTCCCTTCTGCAGAAGTTCTATCTGCCTGTTTCTTGTTGTCTGTCTTTTGTGTTTTAAATTAATTATAGTTTAGGTTTCTCATATAAAATAAGTTGTTATATGTAAGGTTATGTATCTGAATTATTTCATGTAAAATTATGGTCCAAGAGTGCATTCATTTTCCTACAAATGACTCAAGTTTATCTCTCTTTATGGCAGAGTAGTATTGCAATGTGTATGAGTACCACAGTTTTAATCCATTCATCTAGTGACAAATATATAGGGCACATCCAAGATTTAACTATTATGAGTTTTGCTGCTGTAAACATGGATATGAACATTTCTGAGATCGCATGTTTTTAACTGATTTGGAAAGACATGTAGAAGTGTAATATCTAGGTCAAATAAAATTTCTCATTTTAATTTTTTTGAGGAATCTCAATACTGATTTTCCAAGGGAAAAAGGAAAGGACAAGATAAATAGAAAATCAGGAAAAATGGAAACAAAGCTTTTGTACATAATGGGAATGGGGAAAAAAGAAGCAAGATCTATCTTGTGCTGGTTCAAATTCCCTACGATGGGGCACCGCGGGCTGTGAGGCGGGCCGGGCGGAAGATGCGCGGCGTTGAGGCGGGCCGGAGCTGGGGAGGCCGGCCGTGTCCCCTCCAGCGCCGACGGTGAACTTTCCTGCTCCGAGCTCGGCGCTCACCGGCCGCGCCGAGGCTCCCCGGCCGAGCTGGGCGCTCCTGCGTCAGGACCCGTCTTCTGGCCCCGGCGCGGGGCCTTGCGGCCATGGACGCCAAGGCGCTGGAGCAGGACGCCCTGCATTTCGCCCGGCTCGCGGTGCAGCGCGACCACGAAGGCCGCTACTCCGAGGCGGTGTTTTACTACAAGATAGGGACTTGCTATGTAGTTCCAAGCTGGCCTTGAACTCATTATGTAGCCCAGGCTGGCTTTGAACTTAGAAGGATCCTCCTGCCTCAGCCTCCCAAGTACTGTGATTACAGGAAGCAGCACAGGCCTTAATTTATGCTGAGATGGCAGGATCAAGCCTAGAACATATTCAAGAAAAAATAAATGAGTACCTTGAAAGAGTTCAAGCTCTACATTCTGCAGTTCAGTCAAAAAATGCTGGTCCTTTGAAATCAAAACATCAATTAGACTTAGAGCGTGCTCATTTTCTTGTTACACAAGCTTTTGATGAGGATGAAAAACAATGCTGATGAAGCTATAGAATTGTATACAGAAGCTGTGGATCTCTGAAAACTTCTGAAACTGCTGATAAAACCCTGCAAAATAAACTGAAACAGGTGGCTCGGCAGGCACTAGATAGAGCAGAAGCATTGAGTGAACCTTTGACGAAACCATTCTACAAAGTCAAGTCAACAAATATTAAACCAAAGCCACCTCCAGTGAAAACACATTTTCCACTAGGAGCTAATTCTTTCCCTGAAAAGCCTCAGCCATTTATAAGTCCACAGTCATGTGATGCACAAGGACAGAGGTACACAGCAGAAGAGATAGAGGTGCTCAGGACAACTTCAAAAATAAATGGTATAGAATATGTTCCTTTCATGAGTGTTGATCTGAGGGAACGTTTTGCTTATCCAATGCCTTTCTGTGATAGATGGGGCAAGCTACCATTATCACCTAAACAAAAAGCTACGTTTTCCAAGTGGGTACAACCAGAAGACCTCACCAACAATCCTACAATGATATATACTGTGTCCAGTTTTAGCATAAAGCAGACAGTCGTATCAGATTGTTCCTTGGTGGCATCATTGGCTATCAGTGCAGCTTATGAGAGACGGTTTAATAAAAAGTTGATTACCAGCATAATTTATCCTCAGAATAAGGATGGTGAACCAGAGTACAATCTGTGTGGAAAGTATATGGTAAAACTTCACCTCAATGGTGTCCCAAGAAAGGTGATAATTGATGACCAGTTGCCTGTTGATCATAAGGGAGAACTGCTGTGTTCTTATTCCAACAATAAAAGTGAATTATGGGTGTCTCTTACAGAAAAGGCATACATGAAAGTGATGGGAGGCTATGATTTCACAGGATCCAACTCGAATATTGATCTGTATGCATTGACTGGGTGGATACCAGAAAGGATTGCTATGCATTCGGATAGCCAAACTTTCAGTTTCACAAAGGGGATGTCCTCATCGCTGCGTCAACCGGAATGATGACCAAAGCTGAAGGAGAGAAGTGGGGCCTGGTCCCCACACACACCTACGCTGTGTTGGATATTAGAGAGTTCAAGGGGCTGTGATTTATCCAGTTGAAAAATCCTTGGAGCCATTTATGTTGGAAGGGGAGATACAATGAAAATGATATAAAAAACTGGACACCAGAGTTGCAAAAATATTTAAACTTTGATCCCTGGACAGCTCAGAAAATAGATAATGGAATATTTTGGATTTCCTGGGATGATCTCTGCCAGTATTATGATGTGATTTATTTGAGCTGGAATCCAGGTCTTTTTAAAGAATCGACATGTATTCACAGTACTTGGGATGCTAAGCAAGGACCTGTGAAAGATGCCTATAGCCTGGCCAACAACCCCCAGTACAAACTGGAGGTGCAGTGTCCACAAGGGGGCGCTGCAGTTTGGGTTTTGCTTAGTAGACACATAACAGACAAGGATGACTTTGCAAACAGTCGAGAATTTATCACAATGGTTGTATACAAGACTGATGGGAAAAAAGTTTATTACCCAGATGGGAGAAACCAGGACGTGTTCATATGGTGATGACATGGACCAGTGGAGTGGGGAGTACTGGTGTTGGATAGGGTGGATCCCATTGTCCAGAAGGCCCAGAGGAGGACTTGCCCTGCCTCAGAACAGGAAATCCACCCTCAAAGCAGCCACCCAGCTGTCCCCGGTGTGGCCTGGGCTTCTGCCTTTGCCCATGGCCTCCCTTGCCTGCACTGTACTCACCTATCCAAGAGCCCAGGATGGTGGAGAAGATGTGTTTCTTGCTGCCCGAGTCCATCCCAGCAAAGGACAGAGAAACTGAAGCATTTTTACTGGTCCCTAAAAGTAGTGTGGGACCTTCAGTCCACGCCTACCACACCCCTGGCTCATCCCTTCCCTGCTGGCCCAGCCTGGCACATACCAATGATCTTGCGGTCATACTAGTCACCGTGGTCCATCCACTGGCGCAGCAGCTCAATGGGTGGCTGTGCACCATATGTTTCCAGGGCTGGCATGTTCAGGTCATCGATGAAGAAGATGAAGTTGCGACCAAGCAGTGGTCTAAACATGCCTTTCCACCTGTCGGTGGGGAGTGTGTATGAGCCCAGCACCCATGGGCATCAACTCCTCTAAGAATCCAGAGACAGCAAGGTGGCTGCCACAAAATTCCAGCCTCCTCCACACTGTTGGATCTCATAAGCAGCCCTCTGTCTTGTTCTGGGTATCCTGGGACGTTATGGACTGGCTGACCTGCATCTGACCTCTCTTAATGGAGTCTTGCCTTCCAGGCAGGTAGACAATAAGCATCCTTGGGACAGGCATCTGCTTAGGTGCCCAGACCAGGATAAGCACCCACTGAGGGCTCCAGAGGACGCTTGATGGGGGGAAGGCTGTGGAGCAGTCTTTAAGGGAACTTAGGGCCCCTTGGGAGGCCCTGGCCTCTTCCTGAGAGGCTTCTGGTAAACCCAGGAGTATAATCTAATGGGGACCTGAGACAGCAGCGGTTCAGCCAGGCTGGAGGACCCTGGGCTGAGGAAGGAATGGTTGGTGCCCTGCCTCTTTTCCAGCTTGCTATCGATGAGGTCCTGGGTCTGGCTGGCTGAAGTGCGGGCTGAGAAGGTGAGGAAGTGGCTGATGTACTCCAGCGGCAGGTTCTTGAGGAGCTTGTCAGAGATGGTAAGTGTCTTCCCTGTGCCTGCTGGCCCAATACACAGCACCTGGGAGAGCAGGGCTGGGGCAGGCCGAGTGCACAGCACACACAGCTGGTGCACAGAGGGGCTGCTGCCTTGCCACGGGAGACTAGCCATCCCCCAACCTGGGCCTTGGGGTGGGCTGAGGCAGGGAGTGGTGGGGATGCTCACGGGCTTGTGGTTGGTGAGCAGCATGCCTAGCAGGTAGGACATCTGCACCGTGTCCATGGTGGGCACGATGATGTTGCAGTAGTTGGTATCTGGAACCAGGGTGAACGAAGCTGAGGAGTCCATCCACTTCACCCAGGCAACCTGGAACCAGACATGGCTCAGGATGGGCCTGGAACCCCTTCCTACCCTGTTCCCTGCACTGGGCAGTGGGAGGCCAAGGAACTGCACTGCTGGGCCTTGGCACGAGACCCCGGTGAGGTGCTACTTCTGAAAGAAACAGGAATACTTGTTTCTGCTCTCTGCACAGGGTGGGAGACTCCCAGCACAAACCACCAGGAATGGGGGCTCTGAACACAGCTGCGCGGGTGGGAGGGGCACCCTAGAGACTGTCAGAGCCGGGGCCTCTGCAAGGAGGAGATGCTCCGGGAACCAGACCACCCAGATTCCCAAAGTGCTTGCTGTTTAGTTTCAAACTAAAGGAGTTTGGGGGCCGGAGCCCAGGGCATTTGTATCAGCTGGATGCTGAGCGTCTATCTGGCTGGGTCTCCCCACCCTCTTGCCTGCATGAATCCCTTCACCCACAATCCTGACCCAGCTGGCTGAACTCTTGATGGGACCAACATGTCCCAAGGGGGCCTGCTCTGACCAGTAGACCTCAATGTGCCCTGTAAGCCCCTGGCAGGACTCTGCACAAAGGCTTGCAGGTCTCTATAGGCCCTCTGTTCCCCTCTTCCTGGGCTGGGGTCCTTGGAAGACAGAGGGGCACTTGGAGCCCTTGCTGGCTGATAGTAGGAATGGAGACACTGAGGTAGACCACAGAGCTTCCCCCTGGGTCCGTAGGGAGCTCAGTCCCTGGGAAAATGAGGGCTTTTAAGTAGAACTGAGGCAGCCATCCTGGGGCTCTGCATGGACACAGAGGAGGTCTGGAATGTTGGGAAAGAAGGCACTTTGCTTCTCCCAGCCCCAGTTCAAGTCCAGCTTTGCCACTGACTAGCTGGGTGAGACTATTCTGAACCTTAATTTCCTGTCTGGAAAACAGGCACCACTAAAACCATACAGCAGGGCTGTGAGGGCCCCTGAGGTGATACGAATAACTCCTTGCCTAAGACCTGCTAATGTGGCTCTCTCTCTGTGGTGCTTATTCCTTGAGGAGAATAACACTGCCTAGTGCGGCCCTTCCCACCCTGGTCCCTGGGCAGGCCTATGGCCACCTGCTTGCCCTCCTCCTCTTCTTCGTCATCATCCTCAGTGCTGCTGATCCCAGTGTCCTCCAGCCTGTAATCAAACACCAGTCCCTCTCCTGGGAAGTGCAGAGTCATCTGTAGGGGCCAGGAGGGAACACAGCTCATGAGGCCCAGCAGATTTGCCTTCTCTTGGACCGGGGTGACCTGGCCTGGGGGTGCTGCCTCTCACATTTTCCTTCATCATCTCGGTCCTGAGCCAGTGGCTGAAGTTGAGGCGACTGTTGCTGTCTCCTGTGGCACCCACACTCCAGACCAGGGAGAAAATGAACCAGGGCTCTATCAGCTCTGGGATTCGACTCAGCTTTTCAGGAAACATCTTCCTGAGGCCCTAGGGACAGAGGGAACAGCGTTAGGCTAACCTGGGGACAGCACTGGATGGCCTAAGGAAGTAGGGTGGGACATGTCATGGCTTTGTTTCTCTACAGCACAATGGAGAAACACATGGCCTACACTGAGCCAATCTGAGTCCTGTTCCAGGAAGCTAGACCTGGGATTCAGGGTCCTCAGGTGGCCCAGGAAGGAAATCAGGGGCAAGAGGGCTGCAGCCCCACCATTCAGGCCAATACCTCTATAGGCAGAAAGGGCTTGAAGAAACAGTCGAGCAGTTTGAGGAGGCTCATGGTCAGGTTGCCATTGGTTGAGGCAATCACTTCCTTTACCGAGGAACGAATGAAGGAGATGGACTCCTATGGGGAGTGAGCCCCTGGCTCTCATGGCTGGTGGGCACAGTGCCTGATAGGAGTCCACGAAAAAACAGGAGAAAGTACAATTGACATTAAAAAACTTTTCACAGAAGTAATAATAGAAAACTTCCCAG